ACTATACATCACAAAAATTTCTTTCGGGATAGAAAAGTTTTGGTTGCTTATTCGAATTCAGAAATACAAATACTCGCCGTAGTGTGTGTTTCGCATGAGGAAGAAAAAGCAAAAACTTGTTACTATTTACTACAAAAAGATGCGAATCAAATGAATCGATTCAAGTTTATTTAGCTTTATCGAAATCGTTCAGTAGTCGATGGTAACTGCTTCTGTAAAGCTGATACCAATGCGTTGATATCAAAACCGTTAAGAAGATCAAATTAGTTCGGAATGAGCGTTAGATTAAATCTGATAAGATATATTGATGCGAAAGCTATTAAAGAATTCCACCTCCAGCCTTTAATGTCAGATATAGCTGATTAAAAATGTTACAGATGTCGACCAAATCTTAGAAAATGTTGAATAAAAAACTATTTTTTTTGCGGATATGCTTAGAAATACCTCTACTTTAAGATGATGGTAAAAATGTTATAGGTTATAATTCAAAATTTTTTTGGAAAAATATATAAAAATTATTTAAAAATAGAAATTTTAAACATAAATCATAAAAAAATGGGTGAATTTTATTTGGAATGAACCTAAATTTTGAACTGTAAAAGAAGAAATCAAGTAAGTGTATGAATAAATATATACCAAATTCAATTAACATGGAGGTGCTAAAATTTTTAGAGCTAATTTTTTAAAAAATACTAGTGCGATTTTTAAAAAACCTGGCAGTCTGGCATAATTTAAGTCGTAGAATCGAAATATGTAAAAAAATGGGTATGTTATTTCAGAAAAAGTCCGATTTTGTGTCAAACTACTTATGTTAGAACAATGCTATATATAAATATAATATATATCCTAAGTTGCGCTTTCGAGACATGAAAAACGCAATTTGAATTTCGTCAATCAGCCCAGTAGAACTGGAGATATAGGACTGTCCCAATTTTTTTTTTTTTTTTTTCTTTTTCTTTTTCGCGGTGTACAATAAAAGCTCCTTCTGTTTCGCATTTAGTGTATCATCTGAAATAACGAGCTACAATGTATGCAGCATATTTAAAGAATTATGTTACTGATAAGTAGTAATTGCAAGAAATAGAATGACTTCTAAATATAATATTGGTTTGAATCGCAACTGATACAAATTTTACACAAGTCGTGAGTTCGACTAAAAATAGTTCTCTAGTGCACTGCAGAAGGTTGTTATTATTAATTCTAGAATTACGTTATTATTTTAATTATTTTAATGCTATTAAAATAAACTTTTTAAATTTTTTTTGTGGTCTTAATTATTTTGAAAACTGATCTCCATATTCCAGGTAGCATACGTTAATTCAAGACTTTAACAAAGTGAACTGAATTATCGCTATGGCTAGATAAAAACAGAAACGCAAGAAGGGTGTAAAAGATACTTCTATTCATAACTCAATATAGTTGAACAGAAGGCAGTTCTTGTGCTTACAAAATCAACGAATACTTATGACGTAACTCAAGAAGTAAGGAATTTAAATTTAAACTAAATCTAAGTCATAAACTAACCAAAGTTTACACAGAATAATTAACACGTAATTTGTAGTTTTTCAACTAATAACGTTAATGTAGAATTTCAATTAGTAACGTGGCCTTCAGCAGGCGGAACACGCTCTGTCTAAACGATCTAAAAACCTACTTTTAAATTTTATCTCTTTCTACCTCATCTGAATCCTCCCAAACTAAAATTCGCCATCTGGCAGGAAAACGGAAAGGGAGAAATGTCAGTATAGTTACTGAACACAAAATAGCTGATTAATTAAAATAACAAATGCTTTACAAAGTCATGTAAATACATCTTTTTACGGCCGTGGGAAAATTTGTGTAAAATGCATGTGGGCTCAATTTCGTGTCGAGAAAAAGCAACACTGTTTATATTTGGAATTTCTTCTCTGCTCTGATTGATCGTCCACTCAGTTTGATAAAATCATACACGCTGAGATAGATATAGGCCATACAGCTATTAAATTATAATCCTCGATTATCTAAGATTTAGTTAATTCAATATTATTAACTTAAGATAACATTTCCAAAATATAAAATCACATAATTATGCGAAAACAGCTGCAGAATGGAATTTATTATACATGCGCAATTTTAAGACAAGGAAAGTTTCTTAAAATTAATGTTGGTGCATGGAAGAAACTTATTTAGAACCATTCTTGATAACATAAGGATTTCCTTCCCACGATGATGCAGGCAGATAAATTAGCAGATGATGCAGGCAATAGATAAATGGATGGATGCAAGCAATGATAAATTAGCGTTAAAATATAGCTTTATATAAAAATTACATGCCCTTTTTACATGTTAGTTTACCTTCCTGTTTAGACTGATATTTAAAATAAAGACGTTACTGCTAAAGAAATGGAAACTTGCCATTTTTTTTTTTTTTTTTTTTTTTTTTTTTTCGAAAAATGCTGACTTTTTACAATGATAATGGAGCAATTCTGCTGCCTATTTCGTTGATACCTAAAAAAGTTTGGAAAGAAATTCTAATATTTGTCCATTATATCATTATATATAAGATAAAAAATTTGTAAATTAGATTTATAATTTAATTTAGTAATAGCCTCTTAATTCCTCATTTTAAATTTTAGTATTTCCTCTCTGTATTCTAAAAGTAGTAATAACGTTTTTGGACTGCGTCATTTCTAGATCAGTCTGTCGGATGGCTTGTGTAACGCTGATGACGTAGCTAATTTGAAAACTGAACTCAAAATTTTGAGAACTGAAACTTTTCTTGGTAAGCTTCCATACTGGATAACTGCGTACTTTGCTTCTAGCTCACTTGGCTGGTCAGACACTGGCATGCTGCTTTTCTTCCTATCGAAATAGTATCAAAAATGTAAATGTTCTTGAATAGGCAGGCACATTTAGAGTGCCAAGTAAATTGAATGAGGAATTAAGAGGCTATTGCTAAATTAAATTATAAAGCTGATTTACATATTTTTATCTTATATGTATATATATCTATATATTGTTACGAATTTTGTATTCCGATAGCTAATGCTAGTAGATTTATAATTAAAATTGTTTTATTTCCCTGTGCAATGCAGCACATGTAGAGTTTTAAGTCTACTAACAGGTAGAGTTTTAAGAGAAAGCTATGCTAGAAAATTAAAAATACAGGAGCATGTGCATTTAACATTGAATGAAAGTTTATCTCGGTAATTATATTTAATTTGAATAAATGCAATTGACTACTATGTTTGCTGTAACCGTAATTCTACTCTTTTGCTTTCCAGAAATCTCGAGAAGCAAAGAAATTACCAGAAATTTCTCGCGACCGATAAAAAGCTATAAAAAGCCAGAGAGAAAACATCTCAGCTCAATTGCTATTATTTTAATTTAGCGTATTGTAGTGTATTTTACTGTATTAATATTATTTAATTTCTTTTAATGTACTTTATTACCTCATTAACTTTCATCTTCATATTTTCACCTTCGTGCGATGATGTACTAGTGTACATCATATTTTTTCAAACCAAGCAAATGTTAATATGTAATATATTGGTTAAAACTCTATTTGTAGTTGGGTTCTAGAAGTAAATAAACGATCCTCAATCCACGATCTCAGCTCAGTTGCTCAGTTACTGTTAATGCGATTTGTTTAGTTTTGCGAGAACTGAATTAGCTTTCTCTTTGGACTGAGTTGTATTTTAACGTTTTTTTAGTAGTTTAAAGTATAGCTACTGGTTGTATTGCGTTCTATTTAACGTATTTGCCGTTCTACTGATTATTACTGCCTGATATTGTGAATACTTGTACGAATATCTCTGAGAAAAATTTCAGCGTTTTGTTATATTTCTTGTGGTAAGAATAAATTTTATTAACCTTTTTTTTCGGGTTTGTGCACTCAAACTATAATGAATCTGTACGCACGTAACAATGTATATACATATATATAATTCCAATTTCCTACATGATAGTTGTTTGGAATTGAGCTTGAAATAGCTACTCTTGGTCTCTTTTCTTTGAAAAATAATTGACACGAATGAGATCGAGGGCTGAAGAAACATGGAAGACTGATTTTAAGTAACAGCATTTTAACTTTGCAAAACAGGTGGACTTAATAGGAGGCTGCACAAAATAGTAATAACTCTGGCAGCTTTCTAAGAGAATGAATAAGACATTCAGCACTCATAGTCCCGTTCTTGTACCAACTTCGATGAGAGAACTGGTTGTATGAAAGGTTTTTGTACAGTATTAACGGGAAAGATTCCATACACTAATTTGACATAAGTGAATATCTGATGACAACAAAAGAAAAGCTGAAAGTGCTCATTTTTAGATTGCTATAAACAGAATATTCATATAATAATGTTCAACAAGTCATATAGAAGGCAATGTGACGTATGCCATGCCCGATTAATTTTTCAAAGTATCCATTAAAGTTCACATTGAAGCAGGAAATAAATGTACGGTAAAACCTTTCTAAGACAATAAGTCATTTTAGAGAAGACATGTTTAATACCAATGTTTATCCATGTTTGCAGAAATACCGGTCACTTTCAAGGATTGTACCCATTGGAGAGTTCAGGATACTTATATACAACTTTTCTATTCATATTGAAATTTTCTATAAAATTTATAATATTTAATTGACTAAACGATTAAATGAACTAAAAATAATAATAAATGAAAAGAATATTAAAAAAGGACTAAACATTTACACATTAACATGGCTAGTAGTTCTAAATTTGAGAAACACTTGCAACTACTTTACTCTAAACGAGATCCTGTAAATCTAGAAATCGAGTTCTTAATTAAAAAGGAAAATGAAATAGCCAATGTGTAATATTAACATACATATAAAATTTACTTTTATATTACCCATGTGTGTAATTCATGTCAAATTTTGAATTTTTGATGACACTTCTATGTCTATCTTATATTTAATATTTATGCTGCTCAAAAAGCAATATTCTCAATCAGTTAACAGATCATATTAGAAACATTCTTAATTTCATTTTACTTTGTAGGTGCAATGGCAGCATTAAGAATCTTCGGACCTGCACTTGGATTTCTTTTGTCATCATTCTGTCTGAAATATTATGAGGATCCATTCTGTAAGTCTTAGAGCACTTTTTTACATATTAGTAATTTGTTCTAGTTGAAGTGTAATTCCTCAGTAAGTTTCTAAAAATCATACTATACTTTTTTTGAAGACTTAATGGAGAATATCGAAAAATGTCTTATTACACTGAGGTTAGGTAATGATACTTTGCTTTCAATTTCTAAATTTTGGCAAAATTTCTCTCTATTTGTTTCCTTAACGACTTTGGCCAGATAAGATTAATTTATTTAATACTCCTCTAATTATTTAATATTCATTCACAAATTAACTAATACTAGCGGGCAAGCCCACCAGATGAGCGGGCTGCTGCCAAAGCAAAATTTATAAGTTCTATGTACATCTAAAAAGATAATGTATAAAAGCATTTCAGTATGAATGAAATCAATTCATTCTTTCCAAGCAACAATCAATTCGTAAATAATTTTTTGTCGCCAAACCAGGAAAGACAAACTTACGGCGCATCAGGTTAATACGCATACGTATGGATGTCATGATTTAAATTTTATATAATATAACAACATTTTCTCAATATCAGTAAAAGAATTAATATGGCAATAACACATCGTGTCGATTATCCTAACCTGAAACAAAAGGTTGCCAACAGCTGCTATTTACTTAATATGTTGACATTAACGATACATTTTCGGCATACTAAGATGTCACATGCAATAGCGTGTTGTCTTCAACATCAGAATAGGATCTTATATGATTATATGTGTAATAATAGTATGTTTAATGTTTGACAATACTATTTTTATTTCATATTTTTTAAACTTACAAATTTTTGATTAACAAACTCTACGATTTGATAGCGAGCAATGGCAACACTTTTCGGATTACAGCGCGCGAGACTGTTGCCACTCGGAAAAATGAGCTCTAAAATTAGCGTTTTCAGAGTTTTTAATTAATATTACGGCTGATTTAAGCCGGATTTAAGCCGTATGAAGATGAGAATGATCGAAATAGCTTCTTACGAATTTTTGAAATCCGGGGGGGGGGTTACCTCTCTCGAAACTCAACTTCCCGCCGTTCCGGATGAGATGATTCCGCTAACAAACAAACAAAAGAACAAACAGACAGACACGCACGGATTTTAATAGTGTATGTAATATAGGCATGGATTTTAATAGCGTATATAATATATAAACTCAACTGCCTGCCGTTCAGGATTACAAACAAACAGATGACGATGCCACAAACAAACAAACAGACGCCCACAGATTTTAATAGTGTAGATGATTCGCAGAGTTTGCTTTTGACTTTTGTCTACAATTGATTCAGCTTTATGCCAAACAATTTTTAATGGACTCGGACCTACAAATAGAAGAAAAGAATTGATAACTTTACTGTAAAATGTTTTAATAAGGATTTAGCGAGAGAATGAGAGAAAACGAATAATTTTCATTTAAAGAAACAGGATAGCGTATTTTGCGTAAGATAAACATAACTGGAATGGTAGCATTTTTCATTTTTATTTTCTTACTTCAAGAATTTCAAAAGTGAAAGCATAAAGCGCAGAGGTAAATCAGTATGCAATCTTCTGGACTTGGAAGCTAAGGAAGGTTAACTGTGATCAACGAGTAGATTTCCTAGAAGATTGCGAAAAGGATTACTAGAATATAAGGAACAAGATGATAATAACTAGTTTTATCATCTAGTTTTCATAATAACTAGTTTTCATATTTTTTCACTTTCTTTTGCTTCATAATCTTTTATAGCAGTTTAACGGAAATAATAGAGGACTAATGTAATGCTTAGGTACTATTTAATCTATGACAGTAGAGCATTCATTAACAGAAATTTTACTTGCATCTGACACATTTCATGAATTAAATGCAAAACATGTTAATAAATAAACGCAGTTTTTAAAATACAGGGTTATTCAAAATAATGTACTGTATTTGAACATGCTAGGATAAAGTCAGTTATAAATAAACACTTACCAGAATAAATTTAAAGACAATATCAACCGAAATATTTTTATTATATGACTTTATAAGTGTTCGATATGACTTCATTGATTCACGGGAACAACTTGTAGACGATAGTCCATTTCTTCCCACACTTGTTTGATCGTGTCTGGTGTTACTAAGTTCCGAGCATTACCTATGCGTGTTCGTACGTCCTCCAAGTTGCGTGAGACTTTGTCTTTCAAAAAGCTGCACAAGAAAAAGACACATGGGGTAATGCCCGGTGACCTGGAAGGCTAAGGGAACATCACTCTGTCGTTAGTTCTGGCGCGGCCAATATAACGATTAGGAACCACATTGTTGAAGAATTCACGCACTTACACCATCATTACACTAAATCACCACTAAGCAATCAGGTTTTCATCTCTCATCTGGTTAATTATTCTAAGTAACAACAACAACAAAACAAAACAAAAAAAAAAAAAAAAAAAAAAAAAAAAACACTTTACATGTATAGCAATGCCACGAAATAAAAATGCTCGCTTGTATGATAGAGGTATTAGAAGTCTGATATCAACATAAGGGGTCTGTATAAAGAGGGTTTTCAAGCTTTTCATAGATGTCTTTGTTTGCTATATAGTTATCTAATGTCATAGCATATTATTTGCTATTGCGCTCTCCAGCGTCATAGCCAATGATAGCTGGGATAGCTTCTGCATTAGTGACAGCAAATGGCACACTGTACTTATTTACACTTGTGTAATAAGAATATTTATTCTATCTCTGTTATTTGAATTTCATGATGAGAAAGTTAACCGGATAGTTTTAGAATTAAACGTTCTGTTCTACCACCATTTATAGTTCATTTATAGTGTTTGTTTTCACTTCATGAACCGTGTAACTCTGGCAAAAAAAGAAACGATTTCCTCTTGAAAGAAATATTTTCAATAAATCAATCACAAAAGATCCAGTAAAATAAATTCATAGCTACCTGTTATGCAATTAAGACATCTGTTTTTAAAGTAAACGCCTTGTGGCGATAATTTATTTCAAAATAATATCTTATAATTTTTTCCCTACCATTTGGCTTTACCATTTTGAACAACTCATTTTAAATGTAAGATTTTATGTTCCAGATTTTTAATTTCTGGAAGAATGAATTTTTAATTCGTAGGTATGTCGTAACCGCTAAGCTTAAAATTATTTCAGGTGTTAAACTGAAATTTGCACACGAAGATTAGATTTTGCTTTCTTTTTAATCGTACGATTATGCATATTTTTGAATTTTTTAAAATACTTTTTAAATAGTTTGACAGTTATTTCTGAAAAATTTAAAACTCTTTGAGATGTCAGACAGTCATTTGAAGATTTTAGATTACAGTTCGATTCCCGGCAAAGGCGATGCTCATTTTTCATTTCTCCTGCATCCAAAAAATAACCTAATATCTCCACAGTAGCGCCCGAACTATAAATGGTGGTAGATGATGATTCTCTACCATCTGGATTTGGCAACAGTGTCATTTAAACCCCAGTCGCCCTTTAGAAGGGGGAATATATAAGGTTTTTCTTCCACCTTCCTAGCATGCCTTCGTGGTGTGGTGGTCTGCACGCTGGACGCGTATTCCAGAGGTCCGTGTTTCGATTTCCGGCGAAGGCGTTGATCAATTTTCATTTCTCCTGCTTCCAAAAAATAACCTAATGTCTCTACGGTGTAAGTATTAAGTATACCTGTAATAAATACTACTAATACTTAATTCAATTTTTTGTTTTCTATCTGGGATTATCTGTTCAACTAAATCTTACTAGCATTAATATTAACATAAATATTATTTTAGCTCTCACATATCAGATTTTAAAATTTTATTCCCTATAAATTTTATTTTGATTTAACTTGTTAATACTAAAATTCGGCACCCTCAGATACTGAAAATTACATAAATATGTTTCATTTTCCCACATTTATCTCGAAACTTACGTATAACTTACTAGTATTATCTAATATGTCACTATATAACTTTCTAAAATGGTATCAAATATGCTTTAAAAATGAGTTCTATTTATATTCCTCAGTGCAATATTTTTTCAGAAGTTTTTTATGCACTAACTTGAAATACGGATTGTTTTATATACAAAAAATTAAAAATGTACTAACAATGATTATTCAAAATCGAAGAGGTTACACTACGATATAGGAGAAAGATTAAATTTAATTTATCAGAGCCAAGTGAATGAACATGTGCTCTCAATTTTTTATTTATTTCTTATTTTAAAATGCCTTTATCTTTTCATTTTCTGAGACGCCTGCTTTCATATCGTATCATTTGCTAGAAGAGTAGAAATGAAGATAAAAGCAGTTACGTCAAAACTAAATGCGACATACCTTTAACATCTGAGCTATATACTGTGGTTTCATTGCTGATTAGAATGATATTTCAGAACACTTAAGATTACCGATACAAAACAAAATTCAGGACATAGAGTTTGACTTGCTTTTAGAGCATAAACCAGTTTCAATCTCCTAACAGCCTTAAAGCGAATTATAGCTATGTCTGAAATTAACTACAGACACTTGAAAAGGTTTAAACAAACCTTTTTATTAAAATAAATTGGAAAATAAGTGCTCTTCTCGTGTTAACAAGTTCGATCACAACAGTCAAATTCAAAGTTTAAAACCTTTGACTAGTAGTCAAGGATTACACAATTAAATTAAAATCTAAATTGGCTCAAACCTCTAACCGGAGAAACGATTCACAAGTCGGTAGCAATAACGCAAAGCCCAATAATTAAAAACTTATCATAGATGGCAGGAACTATGCAACGCATCCGAGAAAGGCAGAAACACATCCTCTCTTACAATCTGGAAAACTTCAGCTTAAGTACTCTGTAACTCAATTTACATTCTGGTGAGGAAATGAAAAAGAGTTTGTAGTAACGATCTTAATCATAACTGGTTAGTTTCAAATAATAACCCTTCAAGAAATAAAAAAAAACAACATTATAAACAAAAATTCATCTAACGTGTTTTAAATCAATCAATTTGAAACTGTTTTTTGTGGGAAAATGCCAGCTTTTTAGAAACTAGCTAAATGCTATTCTAAGGAATACAATGTAAGAAGATTGAATTTATCTGGATATGTTCCATTATTCCACATTTATGTTGGAATTTTATCTAGTTATCATAATAGTGCATCTGTTTGATAATATAAATATTTGAATTGTAGTAGTATATGATAATGTAATAAACTATTTGCTGGCTGCATTTGTATAATGTTCTAATATTATACATGATACTTATTTTTATGTCCATGACAATATACTTATGATAAAAATGATACTTATTTTTTAGATATAAAATGATACTTATTTTTTAGATGATCCTGGTATCAATGCGTACAATCCTCGTTGGGTAGGGGCATGGTGGATGGGATTTTTTATTCTCGGTTTTGCCCTCCTTATTTTTACACTTCTCCTAGCTCTCTTCCCAAGGCAGCTTCCGGAACGCTTCAGGTCTGAGAAGAAGAATGTCGTCGAAGAGGATACAGACACAGAACTACCTAAGATAAAAGGTATTAATAATTTTAAATATGAAAGAAACAACAAAGTAAAGAGTTTAAGCTGACGAGATCAACTAAATCTTTACCGTATGGAACAATTACATCTTTTTATGATGTTATTTTCAATAAAATCAAAACTTTAAAGAAAGAAAAGGATCTTTCTTGTGAAGATATGAAGATTTCTTAGAAGCTACTGATGAAATTTAAATTGTTGAATGACTTAACATTTCAAAAAATAATCTTTCAGTTTAACATTTTTCCTTAACATTTTTGGTGTATGAAATGCGAGGTTAGAGTATAAGATTGAAATACAACATGAAAAATAGAAGGAAAACATGGCAATAGAGGAAGCTAAAGCCGAGACATTTAATCTCTTCTCATAATCTACTAAGATTCTCTCCAGAACTGCCATAATATACTAAGACTCTTGGTTGGCAAATGAGAAGAATTTGTCTTTATAAATAATTGATTAATTTTTAAATTCATTTCCTAATTAGAGCTTTCTATATCACTAACTGGAAACGAAATGGTATAAAACTTATCTCATTACTATATCAATAATTGGAAACTGAAAGGCACAGCATTTATTTGTTGCATTCATACCTAACAATTATTTCTATATTTAAATTTTCTAATCTTGATTCTAAAACAAATTCTTCATTCCATGAAAGACTGTCAATTATAAGAGTTCTGCAAGTAAACTGCATCCTAATTTCACGACTATTTTTATCAAATGGTTAAAGTATTTCAGACTTTAGGATTTAGAAGATATCTATCATCACTGTTTTATCTATGTACATAAAGACACGAAATAACAGTAATCTAATAACTACACGCATAAAGTAACAAACACATTTATTTATTTAATTTCATTTCTTTTGGTGCTACTACTAACTGCTTTTAAATCCTTTAGATTTCCCAAAAGCGGTGAAGAGATTAATGAAAAATCCTATCCTAGTATGTCATGTAATCAGCATTACATTTCAAGTAAATGGATTCGCTGGTTACTTCGTTTTCATGCCGAAATTCATGGAAGCTCAATATCAGCAATCAGCATCTGATGCGAGTTTGTTTTCGGGTGAGTACTTATGATTAATTATTGTTTTCCAATGATATTTCTAAAAACTAGAAAATAATTTTACTGGAGTCATTCAGCTTCATCATATTTATGCTTGTGAACTTAGACAAAGGAGTCAGATATTAATATTCAGTTTGTTTTATGGATTTCCGAAATAAAATAAAAAGCAGTAAAGAGAATTATTCAGATTGTTTGTATTCACTGATAATATTTTTTTTCCCTATAAGTGAACTGAAACACAGATTAAAACATTGTAATGACATATTCCAAGAATATATTATACAACTTATTTAATAAATGGCATGATTAAATTGATTTATAATTGTGAGTGAGAAAACAATTTATATATTCAAAAATAAAACTGGATAAAACTACTATTGAGATCCATGACATGATTAAGACTGCTTATCGGAATAATGCCATGGGTCGATCAAGTGTTTTTGAGTGGCACTTCGGGAGGGAAGAGAGCAAGTTGAAGATGAGCAACAGTCAGGACGCCCTTCAACGGCAAACAGTGACGAAAATTTAGTGAAATTGCGAAATCTTTGGAACTCTGACCGCCTCTGACTTAAACGAGCCGCCCGTGTCTGTTCAGCAATCTCTGGATCATGGAAGCTCCATCACGACAATGCGCCGAGCCACACCGCCTTTGCTGTCATGGTTACTCATGACTTGACCAAATATGGCATCACACAGCTTCCCCAGTCACCTCACAGCCAAGATGTCGTTCCTTCAGACTCTTCCTCCGACTGTAAATGATCATGAAATGATCATCACGGTCCGGTCCAGACCATTAAAGGGACTGTAATGAGAGAGCTGAAGAACATTCATGTTTCTGCGATACAGGGAGACTTCAGTGATTGACGGAGACGCTGGAAACGCTGTGTTGATGCACAGAAGAAATAGACTTTGAAAACAAAAAAGTCGATGTGTCAAAATTGTGAATAAATGTTTTTTTAAAAGACATTCAGTCTACTTTCCGGAGAAACCCTGTATGTCCGAAATATTCGCTAAGTATCCTTATTTCTCAGTTACAGCAGCAAATGTCGACATTCACCATTCTCTGATGGTATGGTAAATGCTGAACAAAAATATTTTTGTTATGTTTTAAAATCATAATTTAGTATTAACACGTATTAATATACATGTTAAAATAGGACAAAGCTTACGTAACAGCACATGTAAATAAACTGTATAACTATAATAAATGAATAGTACATTCTAAGTGAGAAAGAAAGATATACCAGCAATAAACAGCAATAAACTTAATTATGTGATGCACGTTATACAGTCTTATTTATTGCAACAACTTAAGCTGTTATGACACTGAATTGCACTAGAATCCCTTGCTTTTACAACTGCATTTAGTCGAGGAACACTTCTTTCTTCTCGGCTTCTCATTTCGACCTCCACCAGAGCATATCCGTGCATGTGGATGTACACCAGTGAAGGTCCGAATATACGAGGTGTGACACAAAAAAACGAGACTAAGTGTGTAGCTTGAAAAAAGCGTGGAGTTTGGCTACAACAGTTTTGGTGACGTCATGCCACACACCTCCTCTTTCCATCCTGCCAGTTTCATCTTAGTCGACCACGCCAGTGGGGAGAACTGCGTCATTGAGTGAACACGCGCAGGAAAAATGTCTAATGTAAAAACCGAAAAGCGAATCAACATCAAGTTTCTTGTGAAACTTAAGAAATCAGCCACGGAGGAAACATTTCAAATGTTAACCGATACTTATGGAGATGAAACTTTGTTTCATGCACGTGTGTTTGAATGGAATAAGCGGTTTTTAGGGGGAGAGACAGTGTGGAAAAGGATGAAAACGTCCTGGGCGCCCAAAGGAGCGTCAAGCAAGTTCAACATGATTGAATGGGTTCCCAGTGGTCAGACTGTTAATCAACAATACTAAATTGAAGTACTAATACTTCGTGAACAAATTAGGAAGAAAAAGGCCATAGTTGTGGTGTGATGGATGGCTGGTGCCCCAGGACAATGTACCCGCTCACATGGCCCTGTCTGTCAAGAAGTTTCCGACCAGCAAAAACATTACTGTGATGGTCCATTACTGTGTGTGTCCTTATTCACCTGATTTGGTTCCATGAGACTTTTTTTTTATTTCCTAAAGTTAAAACTTCCTTAAAGGGAACCCATTCAGGCAAAAACGGAAAATCTCCTGAAGGGCTTTTCAAAGAACTGTTCCTTGTTCCAGAACTGTTACCAGCAATGGCAGCACAATGCAGAAGTGTGTGAATGCTGAAGGGAACTACTTTGAAGGTTAAAATGTCACAGAGAACTAATTCTATAAGTACAATGATTTTTTGGACCAGTCTTGTTTTTTGTGTCGCACCTTGTATAAGAATATTTAAAAATATTCGGACTTTCACTGCCATATTTGATATGTGTTGACATTCACCGGAGAATGTCTACATTCTCCAGTTTCAATCTTTTACGGAAAAATATATATTTTTAAAGGCTGTTAAGTTAATTTAGGTATGTCGTGAGGTCTTTAGTGTTTGACAAAGATGTCTTCTGTAAACATTTATGAAAATACTATTGTCATCTGTTCTTCATTAATTCTAAGTCATTGCTTATCCATAAAAATAGAATCCCTACTAAAATTAGAGTATACAGAGGAGCGACATTGTGCGTATTAGTAATTCAGTGGTAGACTTGTCTTTAATATGCAGTTGAATTTCAATCAATTACTTTCTGTTAGTCTTTTGATAAATGTCGCATTGTTTCTTGTTTGTAATTTTTTAAACTTTTCATGGATGTTTTCTTAATAGTGAGCTGTACTTTTTATGCATTTTTTTTTTTTTGTTTTTTTGAAAACATGTAATGCATAAAAAAAATTCCGTCTTTTGTATTGCAGTAATTATATATTTGATTTATATTTATTCAGATTTATATAATTCCAGATGAATTATGATCCTAACTAATCCGGGTACTTGGAGTAAACGCACAGAAAATTATTACTTAATATATATAATTACAAAACAATTTTTTATAAAACAAAATATGAATATGCCTAGTATATTACATTGAAATAGTTCATCAGCTAATGCTGGACACAGAAAAGCAAGAAGTTTTGTAGAAGAGAGATTTGAATGTTCCTTTCCCTGATGAAGTAGCATTGAAGTTGATTGAATTACTCTTCTGTTATGTTCTTTTTTCTTTTAATTTAAGGAATTTTTTTGGATTGGGGTATTGATTGTTTAAAAGTTTTGTTTTTTACATTTATTAAATTCTTTGTTGCATTTATTAGATTATTTGAAATTTATTAATTATGAATTTCAAAATTTTCGTCTTTGTGAAACATTAGTTCTAAGTTTCTTACTTTATATATATATATATATATATATTATAATATTATTTTCAATAGTTAACTTACATGAAAGCTGTACTTTAATTGAAGATAAAGTCACTCTGTTCTTAAATATTTAGATTTACTAGATTTACTATCTAACATTTTGCATCTTCTAACTGCAGGAGCTACTGGGATCATATCTATGTTGCTCGGAATTTTGATAGGAGGTTTCATGATCAAGAAGTATAAGCCTCGTCCCCGTTACTTAACTGCATATATGGTTATCGTAGAAATATTTTCTGTCGTTGGACTTCTGATTTCAATATTCCTTGGATGTCCACCGTTGCAGCTGCCGGGAACCAGTGTGAATAAAGATGAGTAAGTTAATTTTGTTTTCAGGAAGGAATATGATGATTATGATATTAAATTTTAAGACTTCTTATGTTACAAGTTAATAAACGTTGAACCTTTCTTTCTGTTCTTATTTTACATTGTGAACGGCCCCCTACAGAGTGATTCTAAAATGTTTTATAAAATTATAAAAAACAGATAGAGAGGATTAAGATAAGCCGATTTTATGATGGAATGTGTGAACGAAAATCACGTTATTGAGATTAGAAGGCGAAAGTGGCCAGCTAGCGTAAATCATCGTTCTTGTGTGGATTTCGAGTGGCATGTATCACTACACGAACGCGAATGTAGCCAGCATGCGTTTCATCTATGGAGCTAATAACAGGATAGAACAGAGCTAACAACAGAATATAACAGATAGAAACAGAGAAGCTACTCAAAGGATGTACAGAGAACGATTAATGAGTAGAAAGTTGCCAAGTCTCAAAACGTTCGAACGTATTATACAGGAGTTGTGCGAGAGTAAATCGTTCGGTGCTTGAAGGCATGGGAATGATATCACAGAACGTTTGCAGTAGAGGACGCTATAAAAAATATATACAAGGATAATCTTGTTACTTGTTACAAGCATGTGAGTTGTCGGACATGTGTTGGGTGTGAGCCAACTAACCTTTGGAGGATTTTAAATGAGAAAAAAAAATGCATCTACACCGTTTGCATAAAGCCCGGGCGTCGAACCAACCTGTAGAGCCAAATAGCCTCGCGGCCAACCAAACTCTGGAGGATTTTAAATGAGGAAGAAATGCATCTATATCGTTTGCATAAAGGGCCGGCGTCGAAACCGGATGATTATTCTCTGTATGCCAACCTTGCCTTTGGTGCTTGCATTAGGCGGCAGCAAATCTTTACTTTACTTCATTCATCTTATTCACTGATTAGGCTACGCTTATACTCATATGCTTACATCATAGTTACAGTTCCTCTCCATTCGATGTATGATAGTTCAGATCCCATGCGAAATTACATACCTATCAGGAAATATTCTCCATTAATGTTTAGGATAGCATGATATACAAATATTTACCAGGATCATATATTTACCTTTTCACTTTATAGGATATTTTCTCCCTCCTTTCTGCATTCCTTCGTGCTATAATTGGTACCACGCTCGACGCATATTCGGGATGTCCGAAGTTCGAATCTCGGCACAGGCATTGCGGATTTCTCCAGTCTCCTGATAATGTAAGGTATTTTCTCCTTCCTTTCCGTATGTATTCATGGTGTAAATGGAAGCACACTCGACGTGTATTTCGGAGGTTTCGAGTTCGAATTCCGGGTAGAGCTTCACATTGTTCACTTCCTTCATCGATATAAACTGGGTGACTCTACAGCTTTAATTAGGCGTACATACGGTATCTTTTTACAAGTTGTTTAAGCGGCCTTCTTTTCAATACTCCTCCACCTTTTAGCACAGGATTGTTATTCCAGTACTATAACGCATCAACTCACTTCAACATTAACATCAGAAATTACCTCAAAACTGCTTCCAGCCTCCACTGGATTGGAAGGGCTGGACCTCTTCCTTGACCATCTCTATCACTAGACCTCATATACTTGGATTCCTTCTTCTATGGCGCATTTCGCGCAGTATCTAAGAAAGTCCCGCTGAGTCTGATTAAGATCTGATAGCCAGATTATCAGTTGTTGCTGGAAATGTGGGTGAAATACCTTTGCAAGATTATGCCAATCCGTGCCCTACAGTTGTTATTTCGTATGACTGTATAAGGTGTTCCTCCCGCCTTCTTCGCATGCCTTCGTGGTGTGGTGGTCTGCACGCTGAGCGCGTAATCCAGAAGTCCGCGATTCGATTCCACGCGAAGGCGTTGCAAAGTTTTTCATTTTTCCTATTTCCAAAAAATACCTAATGGCTCTACAACTGTTTTGTATTACTATTGGTAATTATCACTACTATAATAAGAACTTTAAAGTACCTATTGTAAAAAGCTGAATAATTAATGTGTTTATATTTATTGAATGTGTAAGTTTTTTATAATTACCTGCTGTTCAGAGCTTCATTACGGGCCAACACTTACCTGCGCCATTTCTGCATATCCATTCCATTATAAAGATCTGACCATTTCTATCCCTTGTAAAAGCCTTTATATTTTTATTAGGTATTTTAGAATCACCCATAAAAAATAAGTAATTTTTTGGATGGTATGTTATTTTTTTATTTAACAAAAATAATCTTAAGCAATAACAGGTTTCACAAATTATCTAAAAATAGGATATTCACGAAATAATAAATCTTTATTCTATTTTAAGTTATTTCATTAATAATAATGTAATAAACTATGTGAAGTTTTATACAGTGTTTTGCAAAAGAAAATTATTAATCAATTATTCATGTTAAGAATGCTCAGTTGATACTATTGAAATTTAATGTATTATATTTTAGTTTTTGAAACATGGGAATGCTTATTCCATTTCTGTATTCTAAAAAATGATGCTTTTGAGCTCTTGCTACCTTATCAGTAAATTCATTAAATTCAAACAAGAAAATTTCTTGTTTAAATTTTGAATTTTGAATTTAGTGTACCTGCATTCCAGTTGATATTTTAATCTATCATTTACTCTTCATGTTAAACTACTGTGTTTGGTTAAACTGAAGTTATAATCGGTATAATAGGTCACGAAATATCTGCATTAACTTAGGCCACAGCGGATCTGGATGATAGAATAAAATAGAATACCTTCCTTTTTATTATAAATAGGTGTATACTATAAAACAAGTGAAAGAATTTCATTTTTCCGTTATGATATTTTATTTCAAATACAGTCAACAAATAATATACTTTTATTGTGGTTATTTATATATGCGCATTTTTTGATAAAGGTAAGCAACAGAATAATATTTAATTTACCTAAAGAAGTAATTCATTTCTACTTCGAAAAAATAAGACAGTTAAATTAATTTTCACTTAAGTAGACCTTAAAAGTAAGCACATAATTTCATTTACATTTTAACGAATTGAATGAGTTATATTGTTCCTCCATCATTCCAGAAGAGTATATATTGGACTAACATTGTAGATCAGCTTACGTGTCGCACACATTCATTTAAATTACTTTATTGGCTTATCAGAAAATATACACAGTACTGCACTAGATCTTTTTATATTATTTAAATCTAGTAAAAAATGTAGTTCTGGGCTTTCATTAAGTCCAAAAGTTTTCTAGAAATTCAGCTAGATAAAATTTAATCTAGACTTCTTAACATTTTTTTCTTTAAGTAATTTTGACATATTTTATTTGTAACTTGGTGAGTTATATCTATACCTATAGTAGCTAACATAATATTTAGAGCAACCTCTTTTAACGGAATTTTTGTTTGGTGTAGCAAAGGGTGGTATATATATATATATATATATATATATATATACATACAATATATACAATCAAGAGATAATAATTAAATCAAAAAGGGGATGAATGATCTGCAGAATGTACACGCATCAGAACTGGGAGGGGGGACTTCAATAAAATAACGTAATAAAAGTAATATAAAAAATTGTTGAAAATTCTTTAGTCTTTTTCAAGCAGCAGCCAAAGAATTTTCAAAAGAACAACGTTTTTGAACTATATCTAGGTGATTATAAAATCTTGAAATAATTCAAAAGAAAAAAAAGCAGATCCTGAGAACTAAAAATATATGTACTGTTGTTGAAGCTATTAATCAAGAAATTCAATGTCTAAAAATTACATTTATTAATAATTAACTTAACGTACATCTCCAAAACTGCAGATTAATTTGCTGAATTTTTATTGTTACTTATGACAGGAATGCTGAATTTTTATTGTTACTTATGACAAGAAATACTTAAAACAGGTTTGGAAATATTTACTCTATGCGTAGCAATTGGAAATATAAATATAAATATTTAAATAGTCCCTCTATCTCTATTACTAATGAATGGCATCTCTATTCTAGTTCCATTAGATACCAAAGTAGATGAAGACTTTTCACTGCGACTCACCTTTTTTCTTTTCACAACTTTTTCTTCTCCCCGTTGCTTACATATTAATATTGTTAAAATTAATTTTTTCTACACACTTAATATACTTTTATTAATTTAAATAGTTTTGCTAATTAAAAAATTAAATTTTTTCCCCAACTTACAAATTATTTTTGTTTTGAAAGATTTAAAAAATTAATTTTTTCACAATTTGTTTTCCCTATTTTTAACATTTAATTTTTCATTTTTAAACCTTTCATTTATTAAATTTCACTATTTTATCACTACGTTTACGATCTTCAATATTTTAATTTTTCAATTTTATAGCCTATATCTACGCATTGCAACTCAATTTCTTGCTTTTTAATATTTTCATTTTATAAAAGTTTCCGTTTACCTCTCAGTTCGACTCTACACTTCGCAAAAACATTTTCAAAAGTCTCTCGAAGAACTGCCATGTGGTTTCGAATTATTTTATTCAAGTTGTATTTTTGTTTTACGTATTCCTTTCAAATTAATTTTAATTCTTTTTCCCAGTTTTAGGCATGTTACCTTTTTGATATTTCCCATTTTAGGCTATTTAAGCCTTTCATTTTCTTATATGGCATTTTCGTTTTTTCCTCACTTGGAAACCCCTTTTGTGCATAAATTGTCATTAAAGCTTCTTATTTATTTTACACTTGGGTTAATTTCCTTCTAAAACAAATTCATTTCCTCAAATGCTGACTTTATTATATACTTATTTTCTTTTGCAATAGTTGCTTTTAATTTACAACATTTATTAGCAGTGTTACATTTTCTTTGGTTCTTATTTCGTTAATTCTTACTTTATACTATTTATTTTTACATTGTTATTTGTTTTAGTTTCACATAGGAGCATATTACATTTTGATAATTAATTAAAATTAAAAAATAAAAATAGTTTTTATTATATACGTCTTGTATTTTTAATGTTTTTAATTATTAATAATTTTTATTTTAATTGATTTATTTGGCACTTTCCTTTGAATTACTTCAAAAATTTATAATCATCGAGATATTACTAAGAAACTTAGCTCTGCTGAAAATTATTCGGCTGCTCCTTTTAACAATTTGTTTAAAAATGTTTAAGAATTATAAAATTTGTTATATTATTTTTATTGAATTATTTTATTAAACTGTTTTGTTTCTGTTTCACTTATGATGTGTGTACTTCCTGTTAGACTGTTGATCCCTTTTTGTAACTTAATTATTTTCTCTTGATTATTTAATTAATTTCATACTGCACGATTTTATTAATCTATAATCATTATTTGAAATTTCTAAACTTTTATTCATATATACTCACAAACATTTTATTTATATATACTCACAAACACGCACATCATATCTACAAAATACAGGCCTTTTATTTTCGCAACCGGTAACCGTAGGCATATGATTCCAGTTACAAAAATATTTTAGAGGGAGCAAAGTTTCATGTTTTCGCATTTTTAAATTTAAAGAAATCAATTTTGTAAAAATTACCATATATAGTTTTTACACGTTCCTCCGGTTCCTATATTTATGGTTAAGAAAAATTCTGTACTCGTCATCAACTACATATCACAAAACGTTTCACTCTCGTACGAAAAAAATTGACCAAGATATTTGATATAAAAATTAAGAATCATATTCAGGGGCCGTACACAAATTGAAGATCAAAATGTTTGCATTTGCGCGTAACTAAAAGTAAAATATCGCATAGAAAAAGGTTTATGATATTAAGAGATGTTATGATGAGCATTTCCATGCAGATTATTATGAAAATTATTGTTCAGTAATTTTGTTTTTCTACCTGAAAAGGAGTTCATATTCACAGAATATTATAAAATTCGTGCACTACGAAACACTAGAGGATTCAATATTTGCACATAACCTACTCGTAATATTATTTGCATTAATTTAAAATTTAAAATATTTGTAATTTATTGAATTTTTTTACTGTTATCAGATTATTAATTGCTGTTTAGTTTTTGGTATTGTTGTGAGGATTTGCGTTATGTGAACCGTGGCTGTCTATCAAAGGAGCATATTTTACGTAAGTGACATAAAATGATTTTAATGGGCACTTTCCATATGCTTTACAAAACAAATGAACAGAACATGTCAGGCTATAACATGCCAGGAAAGAAACAAACATTACGTAAATAACAGGGGGATATTAACTGGCATAAATTTGGCAATAATAACTGCTGCGTTATATTAATAGCCCACCAGTGGCCGAGAGGTCAAGTAGCTGAATACTGGTAGTTTAGTTTGAGGTTTGAATCCCGTCAAAGGGCTGGCTGCATGGGCGTTTTCGTGGTTTTTACCCATGTGTAACGTGTTACGAGCCAGTTTTCTTTAGAAAGTACTGCACGAAGGCATCCCTCCCTTTATTCAGATAGCCGTCGAGTGCTTTGTCATAATCTAATAAACCAAACCATTATATCAATAGAGTCCACTTGATATTCCATTAAGCCATCAGATACTTGGCTGCAATTCCATGCGTTGCTTCATAGTAAATACTGCTCGGGACATTCTTTTAAATTCCTGCTATTTCATGCCAGGGTTCCACGCATCAAATAGTCGCACATTGCTAGATAGAATTACATCTACTGGCTACGTCGATTATCAGGACGTGACACACCCCTGATAGCCACATCGGGAAGATACACAGTCTTTTATATTACCGCAGGATTATATAACACTTCATTAAGCAGCCGCAAACGGAAATGTAAATTTACTAATATTATTCTAAAGTAAAAAAAACTTCATGAGAATATTAATAACGTAATTTTAGACTTTGATAAACATATAAATTATTTGTGTGAAAATTCTTTCGGCATACCAAATGTAACAAAATTATAAATATATAAACTAGTAAATAAAAAAAAATGTATGTCATTCAGTGGCACTTAAGGGGGAGTATTCAACCTCGAATAATCCCAATTTATTTATTACATGACCCCTGAATACATATTCAAAATGACATCAAATATCAGAAATTTTAAAATTAAATTTTTTGGCTAATTTTTATTGTACGGGAGTCAAACGTTTTGCTTTTTATTTTTTATATTGTGTAGAATATTTTCCTAAATGTAAGTATAGAAACCGGAAAAACGTGTGAAAAATCTATATTTCGTATTTTATGTAAAACTGAGTTTTTAAAATTTTAAATCTAATGATCTAATGATATCTAAAAACATGAATCTTTGGGCCATTTGAAACATTTTTCTAATGGGAAGTGTATGTCTAATACCAAACGGCTGTGAAAATAAATTGCTGACTGAGACTTTGAGCACAATCTTTCTCGCTTTCTCTCTATCTATATCAGATGTTTTAATTTAGTTATAATACAAAATACAGCCCATTGCACTTAGGTAGTAAAAAAATTAGCTTCAGGTCCTTTGTTTCCAATACGTTAAGATTTGAAGACGTTGTTACTCGCTGAAAACATGATATTCCTCCCCCCAAATTTTCAGGTACACGTTGAAAATTAATTATGATTAGGCTTATTAACGTTAATTAATTTTAACTTTAATTTTAAAATTCATATTTTACTTTGAAAGAGAAATATATGGTTGACAACAGAAAGGAAAATGCTTCAATTTAAAATTAGAAGCCTTAACTAAGGTTAACAGGTTAACAATCTTACACAGCTTTCTTTTTCCAGAACACTGACTCTTTACAATGAATGCAATGCTGCATGCGGCTGCACCAGGAGAGTTTTTGAACCAGTATGTGGTGCTGACGGGGTTTCAACGTTCTTTTCTCCATGCTTTGCTGGTTGTCCAAACCTTACTGGACTGCTGCCACCCATGACCACGCCTACAATTTCTACGATATCTAATTTAACGGTATAGTAAAGTTATTATGTGTTAAAATGCAAATGTTTCGCAACCATAAATCAAAAAGAAAGATACATAAAAAGAGTCAAAATAGGCTATAAAAATTACAACAGTCGAACATTCCTTCACAATTTTTTTAATGGGAACTCCATTGACGTGGAGTTCTTAATATTCACAGATTCTTGAAATTGGTTATCAATATGCGAGGTTTTATCAAAGTCAATGAACATTTAAAAAAACTACAATTTTATTAAATTCGCAGTGTGTAATATTGAAGTTTGCAGTAAAATACCTGACATCACGGTGAGGCTTAAGGACGTTCTGTACAAATATTTTAACTGTAGTTATGTCCACCAGATGGTGTTTTGTCCATAAAATTCACGAAGGAATTCCTTTCTCTTTCCTCCATGATAAAAATACCCAAAATATCTCACAGTCAACTCTGACCGGGACAGTTATTATTCCTGAACCAAGCTAAGACTCACCAATAACAGACAGCGGTATTAATTTAGAAGTCAAACAACAAAAATCAGCGTTATATTTGCAAACTTTCACAGGACTAGTTTCGTTGATTTTACCGAACCGTCATCCTCAGCTGCCACAGCGTAAATCAACTAGATAAGAGATTTCTAACGAGACAAGATTTGCGTTTTGGCAGCTCAGGATGACGGTTCTGTAAAACCATCGAAACTAGTTCTGCGAAAATTTGCAAATATAAACGCTGATTTTTATTGTTTGACTTCTAAATTAATACTTGTTCGGTGTGTTATTTTATCTTAACAGACAGCAGAATTTTTAAGGACTTTCGATTCATGTTGTTTGATGATTCCTGGTAGTGCCATTATAAAGTAATCGCAAGATTACAGGCGTAGAGATTTGGATAATCATTCATACTTAAATTTACTTCATTCTGTCTAAAAGTCCAAGTGACAGTTGCTTACCAGAGAAGCAATATGAAATGACGCTTCCATGTACGTATGAAATCGCAAAATTTAGGATTACCTTTCTTCTTGTTTAGGGGAAAAGGTTTATCATAACATATTAGCATGATGCTGATTTATGATAATAATAGTTCAAAAATCGTCATATATTCAAGCTTTGGAATGTACACTGCGGGAAACAAAGGGAGGCAGTTCTATATCTCCCGTTCTACTGGTTCGATTGGCGAAATTCAAATTGCGTTTTTCATGTCTCGAAAGCGCGACTTAGGATATATGTTAGATTTATATACAGCATCATTCTAACATAGGTATTTTGACACAAAACAGGACTTTCTTCGAAATGACATGGCATGTTTTTACCATATTTCGATTCTACAACTTAAATTATGCCTAAATATTAAATTTTGTAAAATTTGGTGCGAAATTTACGGAGAAATTCAAAAAATTATCTTGGCGTATTTTTTTTTTTTTTTTTTTTTTTTTTTTTTTTTTTTTTTTTTTTTTCAGTTTTAGCCAATTATAATTTACTTGGCGAACTTTTTAATTTATAGCAACATCTTTCCCTTTTCTTTTTTTCATTGTAGACGAGCGAAGAAAAATCATCGCTCATATTTTCAAATAATTTTAACAAAGTGCGTAAACCACTTTTGGCGTTATTATCGCTAAAAAAATGCCAAATTTTAAAACGCCCCAATATGTAAATTCATGTATATCTTAGAAAATTTTGGATAAATTAATTTTTTGCAGTTGTGCCTAGAATATCTATTTTAAGAGGATGTTAAAAATTTCATAGGTTTATAATACAAAAATTTTTTCGAAAAATTTATAAAATTTATTTAAAAATACAAATTAATTTTAAAATTAAATCATAAATGTGCGAATCATATCTGGATTAAGCTTAAATTCGAATTCTGGAAGAAAGAATCAAGTAAGTTTAATAAAAAAAGAGATATTAATAAATATATATCAAATTCTGTTAACGCTGAGGAGCTAAAATTTTGAGAGCTAATTTTTTAAAAACTACTCGTGCGGTTTTTACAAAACTTGGCAGTTTGGCATAATTTGAGTCGTAGAATCGAAATATAGAAAAAACATTGGCATGTCATTTCAGAAAAAGTCCGACTTTGTGTCAAAATACCTATGTTAGAACAATGCTATATACAAATTTTAAGTCTTATTAATCCTAATATACATATCCTAAGTCGCGCTTTTGAAACATGAAAAAAGCAAGGTTTATTTCGTCAATCGGCCCACTAAAATCGGCCACAAAAAAGGGGGGACATAGAACTATCCCCCTTTCCCCCCACGGGAGATATAGAACTATCCCCCCTTTTTTCATTTCAGTGTACGTTTTCATTTCATTTTAATTATTTTTTAAATTTTATTCATTCTATTTACTTATAAATAACTATTCTGTATGTGTATTAAATTAATACATTCTAATTAGAATAGTTTTTAAATCTCATGAGTGTCAGAGAAATTCTTTTTCCCTAATTTCACTCTCTTCTTTAAGAGACACTTCCCTATAGCAAATAATAAAAATACTGATTGAGATTGGAATTATACAGCTATGCAAGTCTAGACAAAAAAATAAATTTCTGAATAACTTTTTAGTCTTTACCTTGACTTTGGAAATAGAAGATTTAATAACATTTAATGTTTTCTTTTATTGCGATTTCTTCACTATGACGCAAGAAACTTGAATTTAATTTCTCTGAAATTTATGCGGTATTGGTTTTATTTATATTCGTTTTACAATTACCTAGAAGTGACTTATTTCAGGTTTTCCAAACTATCTGTGGCACTTTTTGTTCAAGACCATTTTTAACCAGATAAAATGTGCACCTGAAAAGAATATGTATGGAAGCATTTTAATAATGAATGAAATCAGTACAGTTTTTCTTTTCAAGCAACAAGCAATTCGTAAATAATTTTTTTTTTGTTCCCAAATCAAGAAACCAAAGCTTTTGACACTTTAGGATAATACGTATACGTATGGCGTTCTGATTTAAATTTAATATAATATAACAACTTTTTCTCAATATCAATAAAAGAATTAATGTGACATACTAACCTGAAACAGTTTTTATTAACAAACTCTACGAGAAAAGGAACAGTGGCAACACTTTTCGAAATGGAGTAGATTTTTATCTCCAGTACGCGAGAATATTGTGATTCGGAAAAATGAGGGCGAATATTAGCATTTTCAGAATTTTTAATTAATACCTCGGTTAACTAAAGTCGTACGAAGATGAGAACGGTCGGAATGGCTTTCCACTAATTTTGGGAATTCGGAGGTCCTCTCTGGAAACTCAACTTCTCGCCATTCCGGAGGAGATGATGCCACAAACAAAAGAACTAGAAAACTGACAGACATGCATAGATTTTAATAGTACAAATAATATGGGTAGAGAGAAAGAATTCTCCGCATTTGGCTCTTATGTTTATCTTTTCTTTTTACGTTTATTTTATTAATTTCCTTGTTCGCTTACTCCCACTGCTATTTCTTCTTTCTTTACGCCTTCTCCTACTTCTGATCATGCTCCCAAGAGTAGTTTACTCAGCACCAGAATAGGGTTTTCATGACTCACAAAAATGCATCATTCTCTGGACATAGTGAAAATAAGTTAAGAAATTTCATACAGTAAACAATCATAACACTAAACAAGAAGTGCTCTTTTTTCAGTGTCTGTTTTTTGATTTATTAACCGATTGAATGGCTCTCAGTTCAATGGACTTGTACCTTTATGCTGATTTTAAAGGACAGACCCAGAGAACATATAATACAGACCAAAATATAATATATAATTCGGATAATGAGATTTTTTGGACGAGATGCTAGTTCAACCAAGTGCCCCATAATCGATGTTAAAGTAAAAGTAGCATTGAGGACTTCATCGAGTTCTGTTTTGAACTGTAAAAAATGAGATAATATTGTCAATACACGGAGATGATTTAGATAAATTAAAAATTATGAGTATGCACCGTTTTAATTTTTTAAAGCTTGAAGGAAGGAAAAAAGTCTCGATTTGTAGTATTAACTTCTACATACTTTAAGTCTGACGGAAATGTACGAGCAGCTAATATCGAAATTTCCACTTTTACAGATTCTTCAAATATGCAACGACAGTAATAATAAGAATGTTTCAAAACTTTGAGCTATTTTATTATAATTCATGCTATTTAGAAAGCACCTTTGAGAAATGAACATTGAGAGTATATGATAAATCTAGCGAATCATCTTAAGGGAAGATAACTTATCGACTTTTAAAAGATCATTATTGGTTTTTCTTTTAAGACTCTATTGTTTTGAGACAAAAAGGTTAATGCTCGCTGACATTTGTATGAAGTATTGTTATCGAGGTGAATTCAGTTATTTGAACTATCAATCAGCGCGCATTGAAACTTGAAGATGATTTATGGTTTGCTTAACTTATTCTGAACTGAAATCAACATTCATGCAATTTAATGCTATGTATTTGATTTTGATGTAAAAAAAGGTATAATATTCATATATAGTAGAACTTTTTGAAGCAATAGCCTTTCTAGTAATTCAAGAGGAAAAGGGAAACTGAGATTTTTTCCTATTTAAATGTAATATTTACCATTCGTTTAAGACTGTAATGCCACAACTGACCAAACGAGCTAGTTCAGTGGAAAAGTAGCTTTTCCACTGAACACTGCATATTCGAATCTTAGCAGTACACTGTGCTGGATGCTTTCATGATTTGTGTTATGAATATCAGCCAGTTACCCTTAGCAAGTCCTTTACGAAGGCATCCCACTCTTTAGATAGAACTCAGATAGTTTGTATTAATGAATTAACCATCAAACAATTAGCACGGAAAAATGTCTTCTTCATTAAGTAACTCTTCCTCTTGAAAACACTTTAAGATATATCTCCCGCCTTTTTAGCATGCCTTCGTAGTATGGTAGTCTGCACGCTGAGCGCGTATTCAGAGGTCCGTGGTTCGATTCCCGGCGAAGGCGTTGCTCATTTTTCATCTCTCCTTAAAAAAAAATACGTAATGTCTCTAAAGTAGCGCCCGAACTAAAAGGGTGGTGGAT